ATTCACGCACTCAATGGTGTTGTGCCAACCCATGCGCCCATTGGGCCAACACTACAACATCACTGCCAACACTACACACGCATTGCACACATCAACGCATCCTATAGTTTGAGCGCTTCGTTCAAATCGTATCGCTTTTTATGCCTTATTTGTAAAACATTTAGTTTATTAAAACTGATTATTACGTTAAATACAATTAGTTTTGTGCATACATTCAATCTGTATATAAATAATTATAAATAAAATTGATTATTAGTTAAAATGAAATAAAACGATAGTTATTTGGGAAGAGCTCTGAGCAGACATTTAGGGGTCAATGAAAAGAGTACTCTTCGACCGAACGGAACAAAGTATTGGTTGAGAGGAATGCGAGACAAGACATGATTCTCGACCACTTGAAAGAGTCGTTCAAACGATTGCTTTTCCAATGAATAAGTTTCGCGTCGTTTGGATTTGTCTTCGAACTCCACTCTGAGCCGAACCAAGCGATCGATCTCTTCGTTCATTTGTTTGGTCTTCAGAATGAGCTCTTCATTCAACCTCTTCTTCTCGTCCAACGCCTTCTGAATGTCCGCTAATTTCATGTCATAAACCGAATCGAAAGTCTCTCCGTTTGCGTTACAATCGACTGAATCAAAGAATTTGGACATGGATTGGGTCAGGTCTTCGACCGACACATTCAAGCCATGGGTGTCTTCATTCTTATAGATGTCCAACAGTTCCTTCAGCTCTGAATTCTCTGATAATGTGTTTTCGTATTGCTTTCGATAAAACTCTTGATTCTCTTTATAGTTATTAATCTCAACGATAACACCGTTTTGGCTGTCGATGGTATGCAAGCATTCATTGAGACTCTTCTCCAAGTCGTGGATTTGATCCGTTTGTTGCGAACACTTCTTGTGGAGGATTTCGATTTCCGTTGAATCGGTCGACACTTTCTTCGACAATATCTTCACCTTTTGTTCCGTTTTCTCCAATTGATTGTGACTTTTCTCGAAATCTTCCCTCAAATTCTGATATTCACACAAATCGACCGCATTTTCGCGTGATTTCCTCAACTCTTGGATTACATTCTTCTGGATTTGGATTTGTTTATCATTTAAATCTTTGTTTTTTGAAATCGACTCAATCTGTGTCTCCAAGTCATCGATTCTGACCATCGCTTCTTTCAGACGATTTTTCATATCTCTTCCGTTTGCAGACATTCTTCCGGATTATAGACACACTTGAAATCGACTTTCACTTCAAAAACTCAATCAACGCTTCAAAGAGAGTAAATGAGGAAAACAGTGAATGTATTGATCAAAGACTTGACAAACAATAGAAATGAATGTTTTATATGAAAAATGTGTGCATTTTATGTGTAGTTGTATTCAAATTAATCTCTGATTCAAACCCTAAACCAGTTTAGAGTTTAAGGAAAACCAAAAAAATTACAAAAAGTTTTCCAAAACTTTTGTCAATCATTTCATTGGATTATTCATGCATTCAATCGCACGACTCGTAAGAAACGTGTTAAGTATAGGCCTATAAACCATACCTTTATTACATACTTAGCATTCATTGGTTAACACGTTATACACTGTAAACAAAAGTACCAACACTTGGTTTGAAGGATATATGAAAGCAATGCATTTATCGCCGTTTTTATTGTGTCAGAAAAAGAGGTGTTTTTGTTTGTGTTGTCAAGAGTTTTGACATTTCTTTTTGTTTCGTCAAAAATATTTTTCTGTCATTTAATTGTGATTTGAATTGTGTTTTGATTGAAGACATCGATTGCCAAACAGTGAGAGAAAGAGAGAGACAGATCTGCTGAGAGATAGTGAGTGTGTTTCGGGGGACAAGACGTGGTGATCGTCGGCGGTGGTGGACAATGGGCTCAATCGTGTTGACCACGTTGTCTGTATTCCTGGGCATGTTCTTCGTGTTCATGGGATCCATTAAACTCAACCAACAGATCAATCGGGAAATGCATCGCGAGATCCGCCGCCAGTTTGTTCAGTACGCGAAAGTGATTCCTATGGCCACAGCTCTCGGCCTCAAAGTGTCGCCGAAGTACTACCGATTGACCATTGGATGGCTGGAACTGATCGCCGGTATCTCATTGGCCTTCATTCCCGGACGCGTTAAACTCGTCTCTAATGTCATACTTCTTGGCGTCACTTTTGGCGGGATTTACACTCATGTCATGATTGGAGACAAGTTTGAAAGTAAGTGTCTTTCCATTGATTAGCGTTTATTTTCATTTGATTTACTCATTGTTTTGCGTTACGACAGGAATCGCGCCGTCGATTGTCTTCACTTTAATGCTTTGCTGTCGTCTAATCGTCTCATATCAGGTCAGCAGAAGAGAAGCGCGTCAGGCGTTGACTGCTGTGAAACAAGTGTCCACTGAATCTGATGAGCACAAGACGAAAGAGGATTAATAATTTGTGGTCAACAGTGAACACAATATACACTAAAAGACTTTTTCTGAACAAATACTCATTTGTAGGACATTATAGGGGTTTTCATAATTATTTATTTTTAAACACAACTTTTGATAAATCGTTTGTTTGCCGACAAAATGTTTGAATTGTTTGGCGGCGCCGGACGTGTGGGCGCGGGTGAAGAGTGTCTGGTTGTGGCGGAATGCGGTCAGAATCATAACGGAGACATTGATATCGCTATGAAAATGATTAGCGAATCAAAGCATACAATTCACGCCAATTGTGTTAAGTTTCAAAAAAGTGATTTAAAGTCCAAATTCAATGCCAACGCTTTGCGGCGTCCGTACGATAGCGTCCATTCCTGGGGCGCAACCTATGGTCAACACAAGACATTCCTCGAGTTCACGAACGAACAGTTTGTTCATTTGAGAGATTACGCCAAAAATGAAGATATTTTATTCACCGCTTCGGCGATGGATGAAAAGTCATTGCAATTTTTGGCTCAAATGGATGTGCCGTTCATTAAGATCGGCAGCGGAGACGTCGATAATTATCCGATGCTTGAAATTGCGGCCAAATATGATAAGCCATTGTTTGTGTCCACAGGAATGCACGACTTGGAGGTGGTTAAGACTGTCTATAACTTAATCACACCAATCAATCGTCGATTATGTCTTTTGCATTGTGTCTCCGCATATCCGACGCCATTGGAAGAAATTAATCTTCGAGTGATCAGTGATTATCAAGAATTGTTTCCATCGGCTGTGATTGGATACAGCGGTCATGAGTTGGGCACTGAGATTAGTTTGGGAGCTGTCGCTCTCGGAGCCAAAGTATTGGAAAGACATTTAACATTAGACAAGACAATGAAAGGTACGGATCATTCGGCGTCTTTAGAGCCGCCAGAGTTTGGCCAATTGGTGGCTCAGATGAGGGCCTTAGAGCGGGCCCTATCGGGTCATAGGCCAAAGTGCAGACAGGAATCCGAATGGAGTTGTTATCGAAAACTCGGCAAATCTATTGTCGCCAAACAATTCTTACCGAAAGGAACTGTTTTGACATTGGATTCAATAGATATCAAAGTCGCCGAACCGTTCGGTATTAACGCTCACAAAGTGTTTGAAATAATTGGCCGAACGCTTAATAAAGACATCGAATTCGACGAAAGCATACAATTTGACGATTTGTATTGAAAACAGACTATAAAACTGATCGCAACTTATTTTACACCGAAATACTCTTCTCATTAGACATTTATAGCAATTATCATACAATTTACTCATCAATTGTTTATAAACCATAATTTTATTATTATTTATACATAACTTAATATACATACTCTTTGTTTGCTATATAAACACCACTTTTAATGTTTAATTTTCACAATTTTTTAAAATCTTTTTTTTTTTGTTCGTTATTTATACAACAGAATATGAGATTTAGTAACAATTATCTACACCTTTGTGTCATTTGAGATAAAATATCTGATCGTATTTTACGACAATTATTATATAACTAATAATTAATTACATAAAAATTGGCAGTAATTATACTAACATATGATCGGAGATTTTAGTGTCAAAAATCAATTTATGTCTACAAATACTGTATATTTAGGGAAAATAGTGTTTTAATTATAATTTCAGTAACAAATCAATGAGAATTTGTGGTAAAAACTAAATAACATAATACTTTAACAATGCTTTGAGATTCATATTTGCTATCAAATTAAAAACTTAAAAATGAATTCAAATAAAATATAAAATTAAAACAAAATTAGCGTTAAATACTATTTTGTATTTATATATATTGTATACAATAAGTAGATCTTGTTATCACATATCTCTAACTCATGCCAAACAAGTGATACGTCCGTCGACTTTAGGCTCGAGTTTACGCAACTCTAACTCAAACTCTATGTATTCATTGAGTTCGAGGGCTGCGGTCTTCGGCCCCGAACTGCACACCAATGTCTGGCCACTAGAGTGAGTGTCGGCCGTGAGTTGTGTCGCCGATTCCATGTAATTCTTGACTAATGTAAACACATCCACACAATGCTCTTTAGGTATCAACACTTCGCACTCTTTCAGCACATAATAGCCATCCATTCCTTTGCGCAGAAACTCTTCGGTCAGGAGTCGATACTTTCGCTTCAAATCGAGACACTTGTCGCCAACTGTGATCCGATTGGGATCTATTCGATGACCGGCGGGTTTGTGCGGATCGATGAGCTTAGATTAAGAGCTGTGGACACGCTTTGACGGCAGTTCACTACCGGTTGCGCTATCAGGCGTGAGCTCGCGTCAGGTCTCGACGACAGGGCACTGCAAGTTTTGCTGGTTGAGCAGGTAGTATGGTAAGATGCGAACCAAATCTCTGAACCTGAAGTCTCCCATCGCATGGATTTGATCGCTTCGAAACATACCTGAGTTGAGAAGCGCCGCATCGGAGCCCGTAGTGACCAGCGCTATATCACTGATGAGATTTCCTAAATTGGTTTCTTTGTGGCGAATACAGCCGAACCTTCCGTCCAAATCACAACCTATTTTACACAAAATGGTATCCATTTGTGACTCAACAATGAATGAATACTTTTGTAGCTCTTGTTTCAGTGTTTGGTCTTCTTTAAAATCAAATGAATTGACATTTATTTCGTTGCATTCGATCTCATATTCTTCGCTGTCTATGAATTTGATGTCAATTTTACTGTTAACAGACTTTAGACAAGGCGAAAACTATGTCTTAAACAGTAACTAAAACGCCTAAACTATCAGCACCAGCACAGGCGGGTCATAATTCAGTTAAAGCCGGTGTGGAAGCCGGTTTTCCGTCAGCATAGGCCATCGCATGTGAGTCAATGCTATCACAAAATCGACGCTTTCCTACATTTAAACGGTTCAGGAATTAAGCAATTGTTTTGACAAATATTGTGCAAATGATTACCTTTTCTTTCAAATGTTTGGCCAGTTTTCGGCCTTCGGTGACAAAATCACGGTAAACGTAGCCTTCGTGTAAAGAGTCGGCCAACCA